AAAAAGGTAAGTTTTGAGTTGTTTTTTAAAAGCAGCTACTGAGTCCACAGTTCTTAATGCTTGGGGGAGAGAGTTCCACAGTCTAGGGGCCACAGTGGCAAAAGCTCTGTCACCCTTAGTCCTCCTCTTAGTATTTTTTATAGCAAGTAAGCCCTGATCAGATGACCTCAAAGACCTGCTAGGGACATAGGGCTGTAGCAGATCAAAGATGTAGGCTGGTGCCAGTCTGTGCACAGCTCTGTAGGTCAAGACCAGGATCTTAAAATCGACTCTAAATTTAACAGGAAGCCAGTGTAACTAACGGTGTCACATGTGAGTACTTGGAGGATTTTGTCAAAAGCCTAGCTACAGCGTTTTGCACAACCTGCAGACGATCCAGAGAACCTTTGCTTAGACACATAAACAGCGAATTACAATAATCCAAGCGTGACGAAATAAATGCATGTATAGCAATCTCGAGTTCAGAGCGAGATAAAACCGGGCTTAGCCTAGCCACATTTCTTAAATGATAAAAACAAGACCGAACCAGAATGATGTCTCTTGTATATGTTTTAATGAATCTGGTTTTTAATAGCTGTAAATAAAATGGTGGTTAAAGTGAACTTTATGTATAGCTCTGTTTTTATAAATCCACTGGCTCCCAATTTTTTTCCCAAACATTCCTGCCAGTATAACCTTTATGCCAGACTGACTGATTTGCTTTGACTTGCCTTGGACTATTTTTTCTATTATTAGAGAGAGTAACTGAGATTAAAATTTGTCTTAGACTGTTTACGGTCACTGTCATTTACTTCAAGGCCCAGTTCAGAGAGAAGGAAAGCTGCTTTCTTTAAAGCAAAGAAAGACTTAAAGCCAGCCAACTAATTCTGGTTTTGTGTCTATGAGGCACATGTGTGCCTTTCTGTGAAGGGGTGTTGTGTTTGGTTTTGCTACTCTTTTATAATGAATGTGAGGCTTGTTCTCTTGTATATCTTATGCCATATCTGATGTTGTTTTCATTGTAAATAGGTCGAAGAATGTTTTCTGGAGACAACATGGGCTTCATCATTGTGTGGAAAACCTCAGTAAATGACAGCAGGCAGCGGCAGCAGCCATGTCGCCACTGGTGTATAGAGAGGGTACAAGAATTGATACTATTCACTGCACTTTATTTAGCTAATGTTAGTTTATGGTCATTTTAAAATCCTATGTTTTCTTTTGGCAGAAAATTGATGAGAGTGATCTCAGTGGTATCCCCATCAACATGCTGCAGCTCCATCCGAATGGGCGGTGCCTGCTCATACATGCCAAAGACAGTGTGCTGAGGATGATGGATTTGAGAATGTAAGACGAAATTATAATAAAGCAAAGACAAATATTAAAGTATTGTATTATACTTTGCATATAAATGAGGAGTGATTATTATATTATTGTATGTGTGTTTGAATATGTGTTTGGGCTTTCCCTCCTTAAGTTTGGCTGTAAAGAAATACACTGGAGCCATTAACTACAGAGAGAGGATTTACAGTACTTTTACACCATGTGGGAACTTCATCTTTTCTGGCAGTGAGGATGGGATGGCGTATGTCTGGAATACTGATACAGGTGAGCATGAAATTTTTATTTTTTCCTGTAACAAAGAAACTAGTCGGTTCTTAATGTTTTTGACAGTATTCTACATAGTTGCTCCAGCCGTTTCTTTTCCCAGGTGATCAAGTTGCTGTATATTCAGAGCTTTGTTACCCCACGGCTCTCCACGGCGTGTCGTTTCACCCCTACGAGAACATGGTAGCTTTCTGTGCCTTCGGTCAGAGCCAGCCTGTCCACGTGTACCTGTATGACCGCAAAGGTTTGTGTTTTGTTTGACAAAAGAAGAAGTTAGTCAGTAGTATTGTACAGACTTGCACGGCTTCATTTCTGCCTTATTTTTCTCTTATTTCTTCTAGTTTCCCAGATGGAGGTGCACACTATGAAAGCAGCAAGCAGATCAGCTTCTGAAGATATCAAAACTGTTATAAACACACCTGACCCTCTAGCTTTGCAGGACACATCTATTTCTGCAGCCATGGATCAGTTTGCCCAAGCAACAAGACTTGCACTGAAAATGCAGTGTGTGAAGGAACAACTGGACTCAGTTCTGGTAAATGCTCATAACGCTGTGTTAATTTTTAAATATAGAGTGAAATAAGTGTGCAGTTAAATTAACTGAAATTCTTAGAAAAGGATTTTACAAATTTTTTTCAGGAACCACGTCAAAGATCTTCTACTACTGGATTCATTTATGAGCAAGGTACTCTAAGCAATTTAGATGAGAAGGACTTTATATAATTAGCTATATTAGATTTGGTATTTTAACCTATTTTTCTGGTTTGCAGATAAATTAAGCAGTACTCACACAGGCCGGAGCTTCACATCAGATGTCGGCACAGTGAGTTTTTTATCAGTACTATATCAAAATACGCACCTTTGTATACTGAAGCATTGCTGAGGTCACAGATGGTGAACAAGCTTTATGAGTCTTTTCTGTCAATATTGATTTTGTTTTCTGTAATCTGCCTCCAATCGCTTTATTGTTCAGTTGCCCTCAATGTGTTGAGAAGGGAAACAGCATAGAACCGGGTTTATATACTTTAATTGTAAACTCAGCCATTTTTTCCCTTTGTGTAATATGCTAATCCCGCTCTGTGTTAATTTATGTTTTCATATTTCAAAGAAATGTTTAGATTTCTATTTAACCTTGATTTTAAATCGGTGTTCCTGACAGTGAGAATTGTATTAGAGGGTTTACATGAAATACACAAATGTGAATTTTACTTTTATTATAATATAAAACAGAAAATTGCATTAATTTATTTATTGCACCTTAATGCTGTTATATATTTATTTATTCGTTTTATTTACAGACAGGATTAAACGCCTCACTCCCACCTCCATCTCTCCTGTCACCACACTCCAGACTGAAGCTCACTGGTGCTCTGGCGGAGCAGCTTATCCCACAGGCTTCTCTGAGCACTCAGCCCCGTAAGTGGCTTTTTTCAGTTAATCACACAGTTATTTGTCTTTAACCAGTGAATGGCTTCAATGGAGCTGTGTAACTGAATTCAAATGATTATGAAGATTATAACTGTGCTACGTACAACTTGGGCCAAGTCTTTTCAGCACTGTGCAGCATGTATGTTATGAACAGAAACACAGATGGACTCCTGGCAATTGTTACCCATCTCTTGAAGTGACTGCTGCAAATTGCAGTTACTGTAGTAATGTATAATACATAAAATATTACTGCAGTTTCAATTCTTGATGTTTTTTCTTATACTTTTAGGTGGGTTCAGTCCTGTCGGTCATCTTCTAAAAGGTGCTTCGTCTTTTAGACTACAGACGGTAAGATTTTGTAATGTTTCCAATTAATCTTAATGCTGCTGAGATAGGCAAGGACTGCAGTGGTGTCTGCCTGCTTGTTGCTATAAGAATGAAGTTATTTTCTTTTTTCCTTGTCAGACTCTTCTTGACCACGTCTCTTCAGGGATCCACGTAGAAACAGATTCTGCACCTGTTCAGCAAGTAGTAAGTATCCAGTGTAATTTTAAGCTCAGCCGCAGCCTTATTTCACACTTATTCAACCGTCCTACCTTTCTGTTCCATTCCTAGGTTGTTTCTCTTTATGATTACAAAGCAAATCGCTCTGATGAATTGACCATTCGCCGTGGCGATGTCATCCAAGTACTGTACAAAGACAACGAGAACTGGTGGTTTGGACGCCTTGAAAATGGGCAGCAGGGATATTTTCTTGCTTCTTACGTAGCAGATCAGAGTAGGTGGATTATCTTTTCTTGTGGTAGATATGCTTTTAAAAAATTGTTTATAAAAATGATAAAAACATGTTATTGTTGTAGGAGATTACAATGAAGAGGTGACTCACATGCCTTTGTCCAAAGAGCCTGATGAGAGGTCAACACCTACTAGGGTAAGAGAACAAAAAAATCAGAGTGGCGTCTGACTGGGATATGGTCATTAATGTATTTTGGCTAAAAGGTGAAGTGGGGGTGGAGTTTACATCTCATTAATTAATCTTTTTATACCCACTGTAGGCCTTTTGTCAAAAAAAATTGTCAGCTTGATTTCATGTCAGCAACAAAAAAGAAGAGAAGAATGAAAAATATCAATATATTGCTCTGTGGTTCCTGGTTCTCCTTTTACATACTACAGCTACAACAATATTTTGAACAGCAGTGGTTTTCGTCATTCCACCTTTTGTGCATGAAAATAAGAGATTTGGAACAAAATATCAGTTTCTGTATTTTTCAGTCTTCTGATGCAAATCTAGCTGTAGCTACAACTTCCATGTTCTGCTGTAAGCAGCTATTTTGGCAAAACTATAACAAACCATGAGTCATTTTAAAACCTACAGTGGGCAAGTGTCACTTTGATTGCTTTTCATTTCATAAATTCACAAATGTGGTCTGGTTTTATATATGCGTGATTTTCCTGTTCCCATGGGCCATCACTTTTTTCTTTATACTCGTATCTCCAAGGTGTCTGCTGCCATTAGTTCTTCTGGAGAACTTAGGTTTCTTTCCGAGCCGACGCTTTCCGACACGGACCCTGAGATGGCAGTTACTAGGTAAGTGGCTCTCTTTGCTTTACTCCTAACTACTCCTAACTACATAGGCTGATGAAGCTGTATTGTGGTGGAGTGATATTAAGTGCTGATTGTGAAATACGTTTCCCTCATAGAAGTAGAAGAAAAAAGAAGGTGAAAAAGCCACGAGTCCCTGCAGCTTCCTCTCAAGCCACGTTTTCAGATGCAGACGCATCGACCAGTAGCACCAGGAGGATAGGCAGATCAGCAGGGCGACCTCTGCCAAAGAGGCCAACAGACAATACAAACAGTGCCTTTGAGCCTGATCCATAAACTCATGGAAACAAACAGCAAACGTATGTCTGCTTTATTCTGATTTTTATTTCAGCTGAGATCTATTTTTCACTTTTTTTGGTTTGTAAATATTTTAGTTTTGAAAAAGTCACAGTTTGTATTGCACCTAATACAGATTAAATTTGTTAAATATGTTTATAAAAATATTGTAATTGTATAATGCTGATAAACATATTTTTTGTACATTGAATATTTTGAATAACTTATCCATGTAAGAAAACAGATAATACTGTGTAAACGTATATAATATTGTAATTCCACTTGATTACCTTGGAAGAGATTTAGAAGT